CAAAAGAGCAGCAGACGCAGCTGGTAAACATGCCAGAAGACACTACAAAAAGAATAAGCATGACCAGCACACAGGGCAACGAGCAGACGCTTTTCCCGGAGATGCATTACACCGTCGCGATAGAGGCCCTGATCCTGTTGCTGCTCGTAGAGGCGGTAGAGGAGAACCCGAGGGAGCGGAGCTCGGGTTGCGCTGGGGTGACCAGCGCCAGGAACAAGAAGTTGCTTTGCCTGCTGCAGAGAGGCCCGAACCGTACCCGCTTCCAGGGGATGCAGTGCCAGGACCCCAAGCAGCAACACAATGGCAGCTCGTACAAGGACCACAAGGGCCAAGGCCCGACACCGTCCCGAGAGCCATTCCTCCACATTTTCCCCCCATGCAACCCGTCCCCGTTGTCGTGGGAGTGCCTGTTGCTCCGCCGCCAGTACTTTTGCTCGTCCCCCATCCTCAGAGGCCACCGCACCCAGGGCCTTGGGGGCTTCAACAGCAGCACACTGGAGTACCTGGGGGGCCCTTCCATCATCCGCAGCAGCACACGGGGCCGCGGGGGCCCTTCCGTCACCCGCAGCAGTTCTGGGGGCCGCGGGGGCCCTTCCGTCACCCGCAGCAGTTCGGGGGGCCGCGGCATCCCTTCCATCAGCCTCAGCCGCCAATGGGGTCTGTGCCGCTATTGCCACCGCAGCACCCCTATCAACAGAGGCCGAGTGCTGGGCCTCTGTTGCTTCCACCGAGGCCGCATTTGCAAGCGCAGCCTCCGGGGCCGTTTCCGCAGCCGCAGCAGCACCACACGGGGCTTGGGGCGTCGTTCCCGCCGCAGCACCAGCAGCAGCAGCAAGAGAGCGTGGGGCAGTTGCCTCCGCAACCGCAGCAGCACCACACGGGGCTTGGGGCGTCGTTCCCGCCGCCGCACCAGCAGCAGCAGCAAGGAGAGGCTGTGGGGTACGAGGGGCCGCAGCAAGAGCAAGAGACATCTTGGGGGCTGTGGTTGCCGCGGGATGTGCTGGGGCGTTGGATGGATGCTGGGGGGATGGAGGGGGCCGCGGGGGCTGCGGGCGGTTCTTTTACAGAACTTGAACTCGGAGAAGGTGACTCTTCTCCTCTCCCTTCCGGAGGCATTCAATTTGGGTTTCTTGACGATGATGATGATGATGATGATGATGATGATGATGATGATGATGATGATGACTGGGGAAGCAACTGGAGAACAACAGCGCCCAGAGGCGTGTTTCTTGGTTCTGATTACACCGCACCGACTGCACCAGGAGCACAAAGGAGAACAGAAGGTCGAGACGCGGAACAGCGACGGCAGTAGCAGCAGCAGCAGCAACGGCAGCAGGCTACAATTAGTTTGTTTCGACGCTTCGCGCTCACTGCACCGACACGAGACTGCGATACGCATGCTGCCGCAGCGGCAAAAGGTGCAACTGTAGCAGCAACAGTATCAGCAATAACTCTGAAAGGCGTCAGTTAGGGGGTCCTTGGGCGTACGTCCATCTCCAGCAGAGCTTAAGGCTTCAAGTGGAGATACACCGCAAATAATGCCACGGACTCCCCCACGTGGAAGCTGATAGGAAAAAGGCCCTCAGAGTAGACCCAAAAGGGTGCGAAGGAGACCACTGAGAGACAGATAAGAGAAATGTTCATAAATGGAGTGTAAACAGAGAATTAGGTAGACGCAGCACGGGAAGAGGAGATGGTGTCTCCGGCAAGTTGCAACAAATGAAGTAATACCCCCATACTATGTATAAGTATGCATATACTAATATGTACAAACGAAGCAGGCAGAGTTCCAAGCACAGCGAAAACTGACGGAAACAGAGGCCGACTTCAAGCTAAAACAAAGGAGACAGCGGCGATGTTGGATAGGCACGAAGCAAACAGCCAGCTCCCTCTTATATCATGCTTACTCCTTTTCCAGAGAGGAGGAAGTGTTGCAAGTCTTAGCGGTACGGAGCCTTACACCTTGTACTTCTTTGTCAGTCTTTCGCGTTTGTCCAGTTTGTTTTTATTCATATTTGCCGTTTTCTGTGCCTTTTCCATCATTTTACGGTCTTAGTAATGCAGTAACTGCTACAGCAAGGAGGGAGACGGAAGGTGCAGCTGCCAGTATTTTATTATCAGACGCATACAAGAACAAGCATTGGAGGTTTTGTTTTCTCAGGCGTTCCTCTTCAACCATTAGCAGCAGCAGCAGCTGGTGCCTTGGTAGCTGGATCTTAGTGCTGGTGCTGCTGCTGAATCAACAACCACAGCAAAAAGAAAGCCGCATGCGCCATCAGCCCATACTATGCTTACATCTGCCCGAAAGTCGCTTTCTATTGTTGTATGGTCACAGGGGGGTAACCCTTGTGATCAGTAGTCTGTCACGAGCCCACCAAACATGCATGCAACAGGTGTGTAGGGAACTTGGCGAAAGGGTATAGGATCGGCAGCTAATTGCGCTTTCACCTGCTGCTGGTTTAATCCGGCTAGCAACCAATAGCACCAAAACTGCAATTGCAAGGAGCTGTTTACTGGGATGCGGCCAACGGATTCTTTTGTGCAATAGAGGAAAACGCACAGCGATTCAACTTAACGATTCAACTTGATTGCCCAGCTGTTACCGTTGTCCGCAAACGCCTCTTTAGCTGCTGCTGGACGGAAGCAGCACAAGCGAAAACATAGCTAGTGAGACAACCGGTGTCTGTAAGCATGCATTTGCATGCGGCCCCAGCTGTTCCCTCTTCAGATACGCAGCAAATAAATCATATTATTGACAGCAGAGTACTACACAGGGGGTTTACTTGGCTGTATGTTCAACGGGTAAGCGAGACCCCTGCCCCTGTCCCGCTGCGGCATCCACTGGCGGCTAGGTAGAGCGGTTGGGGAAGGAGCAGTAATTAGTTGATGTTTTTTCCGTACCACGTAATGGCTAGATCAGTTGGGTTGGACTATTCTTAGATAGATAGGTAGATAGGAACCTCAAAGGATGCTACTTCACTCCCAACTGAATTTCTTCGTTTGGACTCTGCTGCCACCGATGCAGCGCATTCTTTGAACAGGCAGAGATGGAGAAGAGTTAAATATCGTAACTGTTTCCCATGGGTGATACTTAAGGGCTTACTTGCGTCGTTCGCCCTCTCGTTTCTGTCGTCCGCCGAGGACCTAGACTACGTCTCTGTGCAGGTAACCTAATGCGCAGGAAGAGAAGTGAACCAAGTTAGGCTTGATGGCATCAAATGTTCGGGTGTTCTGGTCCCTTTAGCAGCTGCCCAAACCGAAGAAACATTGAAATTCGCGTGGGCGATAAGAGAAAGGCTGCATATTTGCTGTTGTATGCGTGTGTATGCTGCGGCCTGAAAGGAGGGCGCTAGTGGGGTGTAGATACACTGGAGATGAACTTCGATTGCAGCCACTCCCGGCCCAGTCTCTTGCGTGGTTGGGCAAGAAGGTGGCAGTAAAATGCGATGCTCCTCCTGAATATTTCCCATGTTCCTTGAAAAAGCCTTAATTCGGGCTGGAAACCCCAAGGAAACCCGTTTTTTCCTGAATTTTTCCTGACGCTTATATTCAGGTCCTGTCTGGTCCAGAGGACCTCGACGGAGGGAGAAACAACTGCGTGATACCCCGAACTTTCTCTCCTTCTCGCTTCATTTGTATTCGAAAAAAATAGTGAATAATTTGGAGAAACTGAGAGATAGGAATTCGGGCCATTTCACTCCCCTCATCGTCTGCCTTCACCACCAAGCCGTTAATGAACTGCTGCCGGTGCTGGCAGGTGGTCATCTGTATCAGGGCTTACACTCACTCTAAAACTTGGGTTATTCTCGTTCTAAATCTGATTGTACTCCCATTCCAAATCTGATTTTACTTTCATTTCAGTCTCGTTTGTCATTTCGGACCGGTCGAGTTGGTCTCCCCAGCGCGCGGCGATAGAAAGTCCGACTTGGGCTCTTCTGCGTCGTCGCCCAAGCCCAACGAGAGGCGGCCACCGCCAGCAGCACGGGGATCGAGGTCCCCATACCACTTGAGCCACAGTCGGGGGGCATTTTCTCTCATGTTCCACCTGTGTCTTCCCCCTTTTCTGGCCGTGTCTTCAGTGGCTTGAGACTCGGGAGGTTGCCAGACACCTGATTCGTCGTTCTTTGCATGCGATTGAACGCAACTATCTACGCACAAAGAAATGTAGCAACGATAAGGGCCCCTACTCCCCACTTTTAACATGGTGTTTAGAAGCCCCTACTGGGACTCAGGAGTCCTGGGCCGGTGGAATTCCGAGATGGGAACCGATTCCCAAGAGGGGTTTGATCCCACAACCAGGGGGGCCCCCTTTTCTTCAGAGCATTTTCTTCGCTGTAGTGCACCTGAGAGGAGTGCCAGTACAGACACCTGTTCGATCCCCAGGACATTCTCAGGTTCCACCCATGCCTCACTGACTGCGCCGGGTAGCGCTTCCCTTTCCTCTGTATTTAGCAGCCCCTGGCTCGCCTACAGCAGCAGCAACTGGAGCGCCAACAGGGACAGCAACAACCACGGCTGTACTTACAGCGGCGATCCCAACAGCAGCACCATCAACAGTGGCGCCGTCAACAGCAGCACCAACAGCAGCAGCGCCAGCTGCAGCAGCACTAGTTGCAGCAGCGCCAGCTGCAGCAAAGCAAGCTGCAGCAACGCCAGCTGCAGCAGCACCAGCTGCAGCAGCACCAGCTGCAGCAGCACCAGCTGCAGCAGCACCAGCTGCAGGAACGCCACCTGCAAGAGCACCAGCTGCAGTAACGTCATCTGCAGCAGCACCAGCTGCAGCAACGCCAGATGCAGCAGCGGAAAGGAGAGTAAAGGAAGTGTGGCGGTGAAGAAACTCGCTTTCTTTTGCTTAGGTGTCTCCTGCGGACTCCCTTGGAACTGCGTTGTTGTGGAGATGACAGAATTTCAGCATTTTTATCTCCCAACCTTTCCCTGGGTATCTACTGCCACAGCGGTGAGGCAGCTGTCTTCCTTTGTCTTGCTGCCGATGCATTAATGCATCATTTAGAATCACCCTGTGAGATAACCAGCCAAGGGTTCTAGCTAGCGGGATGGCTATTGATGTAGCTAGCTGTGTAGCTAGCCATGGAACTAGCGAGCCACGTACTTCCCCTTCAAGCGCCGTACGATCACCGTATGAATGCCAGGGCGAGTCGGAGTAACAGAGTTGGGCTTTTCTACTTGCGTCCTTTCTTGTTTGATGCTTCAATGCTGTGTCTGTCTCTGATCCCCAAGAATGCCGATATTCTTTATGTTGAGGTGTACCGACAGTAGAAACGACATCAATTGAAAGCAGCGTTATAACGGCAAGCAACTAAGACTTGCCGTTGTTTGCTTGTTCTTGACTTTGTCTTCTTCTCAGGTGCGGACCTGCTGCTTGCTGCTGGGCCATTTGCTGCTCTGTTTTCTCTCCCTCCATCATTCGGCTGTTTGGATGTCTGCGGGAGGAAGTGCTTTATCTGCACTTTGCTGTCTGCTGCTTTCTCTTGTCGCCCCTTCAGCTGTACGTACAGCCGGAGGGGGGGAGCTTCAGGGGCCCCTGGGGGCCCCCACTTCCCCTACTTCGGAGGGCCATGCGTTTGCAGTTAGTTGCATTCTGTTAGGAATTTCGAGCTTTTGCTGCTGCGGCATCCGATCTGGGCTGTACATACAGCAGGCGCTGACGCACAAGTCCATCGTTTCCTCGTGGGTTCTGGGAATGGCCATAGGGGGCCCATTAACTGCTCTCGCTGCACTGGGGTTGCACTGGTGCATGTATGCTGCTCCGCCGCAGCAAAAGACACAACTTCTGATGGGGGCGTCTGGTATTTGGCTGCTGTTGTCAGCTGTACTCTTTGCTTGCGCCCTCGCCACATCTAAACCAAGTGAAAAACAAACGCCCAAACAGCAGCGGAAGCTGCGGCTGCAACAGCAGCCAGTGACCGCATTGCCACATGCGGACTTCCCTGCCCTAGAAGCAGCAGCTTCAGCAGCGGCTCCAACAGCAGATACAACGGCAGCATATCAGCGAGAGCGGCCGGAGCAGCAACAACCCCCAGAGGCAGGGATGGATGAGGGATCACAGGACACAAACTGCTCCTGGCCTGCGAATGAGACGACTGCTTTGCTGCACGACTTCGTACGGCATAACCGAAGCAACAGCAGCAGCAGCAGTAAGGGGAAGTATCTTGAATGCGTTACTGAGGGTTTGAAAGTGCAGTCGGGGGTATTTCAGCAGTTTGAGGTGTACGCGTTTGTCTTCCGTTGCTACCGACAAAGTTTGTTGTGCACTTTCTTCTTGTCTTTTTCTACATTTATTATATACCCCGTTAAGTTGCAATGCATGCTCCCCTGCAGCAGCACAGACCCCGCACTGTTCCAGCTGCTACTGATAGTCATTTACCATCTAGGAGTAGTCGCAGGGCGCTGCTGCTCCTGCTGCTGCTGCTTCTCTTCTTCTAGCCAAAGGCTGATCCCTCCAGTGCTTGTGTTGCGCCTCGCTCTGTTGCCGCTGCTGTTTTGGCTTGAAGCAGCACCAGCAAAGTTGCTGCCGGTGCTGCGAGCTGCAACAGCAGCGATTGCTGCTGCGGGAGGAACGGGATTAAGAGGAGCGTCAACAGTGGCACGTCCTGAATCGTTGCTGGGACACGAGCAATCGGCAGCAACTGCAGCACTTCCTGGTGGTGTGCATAAGCAGCATGTGGAGCTGTTGCTGCTGCTAGTAGATGCAGGTCGTTGCTTGTGGTTGTTTGTGTTTGCTACTGTTCACGGTTGTCTGTCCTTGACTGGTACCCTGTACACCACGCGTACCCCAGAGACATATGCACACAAAGCAGCAGTAGCGCGTCTGCTTTGTCTTTTCGAGAGCACTGGCCTGGCCCTAGGCACGTTGCTCTCCCTATCCCTCGCGCCTCCTCTTCAGCCTCTCTACGGGTGGCAACAAGCCGCTGTAACGGCATTAACGCATCTCGCATGAAGGCAGCAACAGCTGGGAAGCCAGCTGCCGAGAATGCAGATGCACCAGCAAAAACGGCAGCAGTGCATGCCGCAGCAACAGCAGCAGCAGCAGCAGCCAGAAAATGCAGCAGCAGGAATGTAGAAGAAATATCAGCCAACTTAGCCGATGGTTGCAGCTGAATCTTATGGGGCATACTTGGTTTTCCTGTTCGGTGTCGTATGAATATATTTATTACAACCGCATTCCCCTGTAATTTTGTCTTCTAATCTATTTACATATTCATCATTATATGCGCCTAGCTTGCCACTAATATCAATTCAAAGTATATGACCCTCTGTCGTTACTTAGAGTGTGTAATAAAGACATAAATTAGGGGTTGTTTCCCTTTTCTGGCAGACAAAGGAGATGCACGCAAGTCGAAGGAGGATAAATGGCTCAGGGTTTCCTTTTCTCTTGTTTCTTCCCTGTCTGGGAATCTCTAATCCTTTCGTTTTCTGTTTCTTTGCTTCTTTTGGTCTATTCGTTTCCCTTCTGTCGGTTTGTTTGACTGTGTGAATGTCTTGTGGTTGGATTATTCTTAAGCTCCAGGGTTCTTCTGCTTGTACGCCAAGTAGTCGTTCTTTGCAAACAAACAAATGAACAAAAAAGGGGGGAAAATATATGCACGTACAGACACGATTACAACTGAGGTAACAAGTACACTAAAGCAGCAGACGAAATGGTACACAACGACATTCATTCAGCAAGAGAAAACCAACGAACAACAAAGATAAGCAACGTGTAAAACGGGGAAGGTAATACAAAGAAGCCCCTCCGCACAACCTATGTGCAGGCGCAGCACAGCCACCAGCTTGAGCAACAATAGCAGCAACAGCACAGTCTCAATGGAGGCAGTAGCAGAAGCATGGAAGCAGTCCAGGCGGAAGCAACACTACACCAGTAGCAAGAACAGCAGCAGCAGCAACAGCAGCAGGCGAGTGCGAATTTAAATTGCTCACCTTAAGGCAGGGGCTTTCCAGGATTTCCTTGGCAGTGGGCCTCATTGCCGGGTCTTTGCAGAGCATCTTGTCGCAGATTGTCCGCAGTTCGGCGGAGTACCGCTCAGGGATTTTGGGGGCCTGCGAGGAGGAAAAACAGCAAAAGAAGTGTCTATTCGTCATGGCGTGGTTTATCTAAATCTTAAGATGCTCCTTTGCCTGTATTCTTCATCGTTTGTTTACTATGTATTTTGTATGCAGCACGAGCTAGGCCTTAAGACAGACAACCCCAATGACAAATGAACAAGTTAAGCAAGGAATTAAAGCTCCTCTACTACGGCGTGTTTCAGAGTGTACATATCTGTCTCACACCCCAATCCCTTGTTTGTTCGTCTTTGCCTGTGCATCCTTCTACAGTGCCTACAAAAGTAGGGGGGCGACGAAATAACAAACGAATGCAAACAGACACGGCGCATGCATCTTACCGGAGCATTGCAAATGTTTCTGTTGAGTTCAGGGAAACTCAGACCCCGGAACGGCAGTTCAAAAGTCGCTGCTTCTATCATTATACAGCCCAACGCCCAGATATCTGCGGCTGATGAATAAGGCTTCCCCTGGCATAGCCACACAGCAACAGAGGCAGTTGCATCAGAAGCCGCAGCAGCAGCAGCGTGACCAGCAGCAGCATCAGCAGGAACATCATCTGCGGCAACAGCAACAGCAGGAGCAAAAGCAACTGCAGCAACACCAGCAGCAACACCAGCAGCAACACTAACAGCAACAACAAAAGCAAGCTGCGCACCTTGCATAGTTCAGGGGCCATGAAGGCAGGAGTTCCGCACTGCGTTTTTGCTTGTTGCAGCGTAAACTCCAATATTTTTGACAGCCCCAGATCTCCAACTCGGATGTAGTTGCTTTCATCTAGAAATACATTAGCTGGTTTCAGGTCTGCAAGGAGCAACAACAAGTTTAGCAACAAGACCTCAACAAGCAGCTTAGACAATGGAACAGGCTTGGTGACAACAGCCGGGATGAAGAAAATAGGGAAACTGAAACTTCAGCTGTTTCCCCTTGTTATTTTGAATATCCCCTTTCTACGTTTGTTGGCTTTTTCGTCCTTATGGAAGAAGGCACATACCACGACAACGCCCACAGATAGGAACACGTAACAATACACAAATGCTGAACGCAGGGAGAGTGAAACAGGAACAAATGGGTAGGCGCAGATAAGCGGAAACGCACACAGACGGAAAGCAACGGAGCGCGGGAGACAAAGAGCGAGGCATAACCGAACAGCAGACAGGCAGAGACAGAAGCGCCCCAAGGGCCAGGCAACGCAAAGCAATTACCTCTGTGGAGGATTTTGTGCTTGTGCATATATTCAAGAGCAATAGACAGCTGCAGCAACCAAGTCCGGAGGGTCACTTCGCTGAAATATTTGCGCTGGCGCTTCCTCTCCCGGATCAGCTTTGCCATGTCTCCCCCTTCAAACAGACACACGCCAACTCCAAGCCCAACTCACAAGATCGTAAAGCCTAAATCCTAAACGCTAATCCCTAAGCCCTAATCGCTAATGCCTAAACGAATATCCCCCAACTGTAAAACCCTCCCAAATTCACAGCCACCCGGAAAACCAAACCCTCCGGACTAGCCCCCAAACCCTAAACCTCAAACCCTAAATCATAAGCTTTCTTACCCTCGCAGAAGTCCATGACGATGCACAAGTGGGGATACCCGTGGTAAGTGTCGTTGAATGCGTTTCTGTAGTGAACAATGAAAGGAGCATCCACCAGTTTAGACAAGACCTAAGCGACACGGCGAACAAAGACAAAAGCCAAACTGGCATCAAAGTGAAAAGTAATCCACGCAGGGATATTGAAGTTTTACTAGCCTTCTGCCCCAAGAGGAAATGAGCTTGCAACGAAGGAGTAGGAGCGCATGAATCCAATCAATGGGAGAAAATCCATTCTTCCAGTTGCAGTTCGAGTTTTGGTACCCCCACATTTTCCATATGTGCTTGTCTAGATGCATATATATATATATATATATAT